GAGTAACAGAGATTCGAGAATGGGGCGCTTGAATGGTCGTGTCCACTAGGATGTTCCACTTGACATCTTCAGGACGTGTACTCAGCAGAGCTGAGTCACTGGGGCGTGAACTGCCAACAACACCCCTCGAAGGATTCCATTGGAAAGAATACAATCTGCAGCGAGCATCGACCGTCCTCAGACCCACCACTGTCGTCTAGCATCACTGAGGCACAAGGTCATGGACCGTGCCAGCGGCTCTCAGTTGGAGATGCAGCAGTTTCAGTGACAGTCGAGCAACAGATAATGGGGCATTCGAACGGCAGTGTCCACTAGAATGCTCTCCGTATCCCTACTAGAGACTACTCAGCAGGGCTGAGTCACGAGAGTGGAATAAAAACGCACTTCAAAGGATTCCGTGTGAGAATACAATCCACAGCGAGCATCGATGGACGAGCATCCTCAGACCCACCACCGTCGTCTAGCATCACTGAGGCACAAGGTCATGGACCGTGCCAGCGGCTCTCAGTTGGAGATGCAGCAGTTTCAGTGACAGTCGAGCAATGAATGGGGTATTCGAACAGTCGTGTCCACTAGGATGCTCCACTTAGACTTTAGGACACAGAGCTGAGTCACGCGAGCAGAATGAAACTGCCAACAACGTCCCTCAAAGGATTCCATCGGAAGGAACACAATCCGCAGGGAGCATCGATGGACGACCGTCCTCAGACCCACCACTGTCATCTGGCATCACTGAGGCACAAGGTCGTGGACCGTGCCAGCGGCTCTCAGTTGGAGATGCAGCAGTTTCAATGACATTCGAGCAACAGATCAGGGCATTCGAACGATCATGTCCAACGGTGGAGACCATTCGGCTGGATGGGAAAAACCCCCCATGAAATTGGTGGAACAGTGAGCATGGTGAAAGATGCGGTTGGGTAAAAGGAGCATGATGTTGGGAGGACTGGGTTCAGCAGCGTGGGACGAGGTGATGGTAGAGCGCTTAGCAAGTCGACACAAATAAGGGTAAATCCATGTATCGAGGTCGCTCCTCTGACACATGAATGACAGTATATCGATGCTGTCATTGGGATCCTGTGATACGGTCCATGACCTTGTGCCTCAATGCTAGACGACAATGGATCTATATTCACATGCAACCAATGTGGCGATCATCCAAATAACAGCGGGAGTGAGACTGCTGGCAAGGGCGTCCATCCCTTCTCCATTATACAAGTCACAATTAGCTAGGCTAAATAATAATCAGCTTTTGGTCTTACCTACGAGTGTAACCGCGGTCGCGTTAGCACATGACAGAGCGGCATATCCCACTATATCCATTACAACAGTACATGAGGGGACTTTCACAGCATGGGTTAGTAGGGTTGGGGTGACGGTGTCCTCCGGGGTCTGGTTTCGGGTTGCTTTGGTTCGTCTGTGGATGGGGTTGCTCCCCGGGCTCAGTGCTGTCAAGATGGGTGGTTTTCTTGAAAGGTTCGGTCGGTGGGAACCGAGGTGTGATCGGGGGTAAGTCTGGATCTCTTATCGATGGCGTGCGATTTCTTTAGGTACTTTGCCAGCCTGAGGATTCCTTTCGGTCTCCCCATCAGCACCATGGTCTGGTTTGCCGTCCGCTGCCTAGCAGGTGACGGAACTTCCTGAGTTGCGGGCAGTTTTGTAGGAGGTGAGTTCGCGTCTGGACCACTGCGCCGCACTGGCATTCTTGGCTTTCTGTATGGATGCCGAAGTGCTGGTAGTATTCCCCAGTGTGCGCGTGTCCGGTGCGAAACTGGATTAGTCTGCTGAAGGTTTTCGGTCTAGTGACTTAAATCTCAGGGTGGGTCTGAGTGTCGGGGCGATATGGTTCGCCAGGTGGAATCCGGAGCTTGGGGGGTTGGGTGCAGTTGACCATCGTGCCTTCCAAGCTTCTTCCATCTCCGCTCTGTGTAGGCTCTCTCCATATGTGAGTGAGTGGTAACCTGGCCTGTCTGTTCTAAGGTGGGCACCTTCCTTTGCTAGCTCGTCTGCTCGGTCATTTCCTGCAATACTGCAGTGGCCCGGACACCAGCTGACTGCAACTTTCAGGTCTTCCTTTTCCTCGAGCAGCCTTCCTATCGTGTTCCTGAAGGCCCACGAGTGTTCTTGTGCCTTCCTGGGTTTCCCCTGGAAGATGCGTTTCACCGCACTGGCGTTGTCTGAGTATAGGACGATGTTCGAAGGGCCGTTCGGGTTGCAGTGTAACCACGCGTCTCCACTATCTCCCGGCTGGAACCGATTGCTACTCTGTAGGGGGGTCCTCTATTACTAGAGTGCATGTTTCACACGCGCTGACCTGCAGTTATTTTTTACGAAAGGGTTCATGCCCCTTTCGCTTTTTGACTGCTCCTTCTCACGAAACCGCTGTAACAGTCTATCTACACCAGGGGGGTTGTACTTGGCCATGCAGCCACCAGCTCAGGGAGCTTGATTGCATCTGCTGAGCAGACTTTCGTTCCGTGGAGGCCCCCAACGGAAGCGCTGAAAGACTGCAATGGCTGACTTGCACATGACCTATTAGTGCTGGTACGTAAAAGTTGTTCAAAGACAGTTAACATGGTGTCAACATTCTGTCAATACCATGGCTAGCAAGGGCTAACTCAGGTTTATGGAAGACCCTAATTACAGCCTCCGCGTTACCTGGGACCGCAGTGAACGAACGATCCCTGCCATTGCAAAAACGCAATATGGTGACCATCGCACGCTTCTTCCACTTGTCTCTCCTTACTATCGGATGAGCAATGCTCTTGCGCGGCACTCACGAATAAGGCGATTCGTTTGGAGGGTCGATTATAGTATCATGTAACGTGGCATGGGATTACCCTGAGATCCCAGCAGTCCCCTCGTTCCTTCACCACGATTATTCTGACTATGACATGGATGCCGAGTTCTGGCTAGGGGAGAACAAATGGACGTTGCACGCCCAGTTCGTACGGCGTGACCCCCAAGCTGTGTTTCATCGTGCATTCGTAGCATAAAAGTCACGCTTTGCCATCTGGGCCACAACACGCAACAACTTTACTTTAGAACGAAGTAATATATAAAAAGTTAGTCCCAGCGTATATTTGGGCTTCAACTTCATAGCAGAGTAACTAGGCTAAATATTATATCCTAACTCGAATTTCACATGGGGTCCTCATGTGTCCCAGAATTATTTTCTGAGAGGATCGCGTCAAATTTGGCAAATGCCTAAAATGTACTGCCACTGCCAATGTGTACCAGTCGTTAGAGCAAAGTGTCGCGCGCAAATTTTCGGAATAGGCGATCGAACTTGAGTTTATCCCTGTAGCTTGTATTGAAAGCAGAACGTGACTTTACGTTGAATACAAAAGCTACTTAGTTACATTTCCACATTGCAGTGCATTCCACATTGCAGTACGCTGTAGGAATATAAAAGTTACAACACTAAAACAACCAGAAACCATCACAAAAAATTGGATAAAAATCATACAACCTCCACGGACCAGAAATAAAAATAGGAATAAAATCATAACTCAACAAAATGAATTGAAATAAAATATCGGAAAAATAATGAAGAACAGAGTCGATGGATTGAGTATCTACGCGAACTTTCAAGTCTAGGGATTAAAAGATGGTTCAGAAAATGAAGAAAAACAGCAAATAAACTCACATGAAAACTAAAACAAGGTTTCCTGTATCAAATAAAATATGAGAAATTCGTGGTAACGTGGGAAAATAGTTTTACGAACGTACGAAACGAATGACAAAGAGAAATCGGAAGGAAATCAAGGCATTCATATAATGAAAAATGGTCGGGTATGAGGAAAAGATGAAAGAATTGGAAATATTTATACGAGGAAAATAGGGAAAAATATGAATATTTGTCGGTCTGAAAGAGTTGAAGTATAGGTCTGTGTACGAAAGAATTTCATGTTAAAATCTGAAGAATTGAGGGAGAAATGGATTTAACAAGATTAAAACACACTTGCAGAGAAGACTGGCTCAAACATCCTGAGTTTGTGGTAAAAACGGATGAGCTAGAAATGCGAAACTAAAGAGTTTGAGTCCAGGAACAAGGCATAATTTATCCAGAATTAATCGTAGGAAAATGGATGAGCTAATGCCAAAGCAATCTGGAGAACCTCAAAATTAAATCTTGAAAAATTCATATCTTCATAAATAATCCTCGTAGTTTACTGTTGTTTATACCGACGGAAAGCTACACTCTTAAGCTAACAAATAACCCCATGACATGTGACCTAGAATAAAGTGAGTAAACAAGGGTAAACAAGGTCATGATGGGTGTTAAGCAATGCAATTGGCTAATTCCCACACCAAAACTTCCAGAAAGTTCTAGAAGCAGAATGGGATGCTGATCGCTTACATAAGAGGATTGCTAAGCTCAATATAAGATTACTCAGCAATGTAAATAGTAAAGTGACATGTGAAAACAGAGCCCTTAGGAAAGGTATAAAAGACCGCATTTTCTGGTCTGACCCCTCTTCCTTCTTTACTCCTCTCCCCTACGTGCTCTGGCTCATAGGTCATAAGGTGTCCTAATAAAAATTAAGTTTTATTAGTATAAGTGTGCAGTTCAGATCACATCTGAGTAAAAGTGATCAACCCTCAGTAAAAAGTTAAGAAGAAGTTAAGAAATAGTGACGTTGAGTCAAGTCGGTTGGAGTCGCTCCGAGTTAAAAGTGACAAGACAGAGGTGAAACGACTGAAAATAGTAGGTCTATAGCGTGATTTTCGTGTGGAACAATCAGGTAGACAAGTGAATCGAACCCTGAGAATTTCATACACACACAAACAATTAGTAACACATACAAATATCAATACACAAAGCAACCAAAATGCTACAGTGGTTGAGTTAAAGTACCAATACTAACATATAAGTGTCAGAAGAAAGAACAGCCTTTTATAGGATTTCTGTTCTCCTCCTTCAACGCGTGCATCCATGGAGTGAAAACGACTGGGTACGAGTCTGCACAACTCCCTTCCCAGCTGTTGCACTCAAAGACTTAGTCCTGTCCCTTCGGAATCAATTCCCAGGGCCCAAATGGGTATGGAGCCACCCAATGCTGATGCTGCCACCCATGCATGTCCATTTCAAGTAACCACCATGGCTCCTGTGCTGCAAACCATACCTGGGTGCACGATGCACAGTGAAACCGTACACTGCGAATGCCAAGCCTGTCGACTATAATATTTGTCTCCAGGCAAGGTCGAAGCAGCTCGGACACATTTGCATCTTGGCTGGGCTTGTCAGTGATGCTGGATGGGCACCTCTCATTTGGGCAATGAGGGGCCTCTTTCCAGAGCCCTCCATACCGGGGTCCCCTGATTAGAACCATGGTCTCATGTGGCTCCATAAGCACAACCTGATTCCCAGGGAGAATGGACGGCTGTCCCCCAAAGGCTTCGAGACGAGCTTGTCGAGGGGTCTGGTTTAAAATTGTAGTGAAGTAGGTGAAATTGAGGGTCTGAGATATGACCACTTCTCGAGACACTCGATCCGCAGTGAATCCAATTACCCAGCTAAACCTATGAGTACATTAGACCCCCAGCAGTGCCTAGATGAAACAACGTGCCTCAATCGATGGAAGACATTTTTGAGAATGTCAAAACTGCCATTTATGCTGAAGGCCTGCCCACATGTGAGCAAAACCAACCCAGTATTCTGGTGGAGGTGTCTTAACCATCGTGCACTTCCTTCCAGCGGTTCGGCCATCTGGGTAAGTTCAGCAACACTCTTGGCTGGCGCACATGGGGAAAAGCACTCACTTGCTCAAAATCATAGCCATACTCCACACCATCAACCCATCTCTGTGCTATGAGGGTCCCACTGTTGGCCTCTGTATGCGTCGTGTAGAATATGATGGCCTTGTCGAATGACCTGCCATCAGGAAGGATGGTGTGGAGTTTGTGTGCATCCGATTTGCGATCCTCATCCCAAGATGACTCCATCACAAATCTTGCTACGAATAACTGCTACACTATGAGAAGACAGCAAGGGAACTCAATCGCAGTCGCCTACTCGATCAGGATGGTCCACATATTCCATATGGAAAAAGGCCCCAATTTCATCATCGGCAAGGGTGGACAATTCATCCCCAAATGAGTAGATAATAATGGCAAGTTTTGGTAGGTCTACCATTGTCGTTGACTGTGGCTGTCGTTGGTAAGATACAGTAGGCATGAATGAATGAATGAATGAATTCACTTTATAGTACGTGCCGAGCAGCATATGCCGTACTTATATGATCATAGACAAGAGGTGGTGGATAAGGGTTTGTGGGTGGGTGTGTTGAGATTGTGAGTGTGGTTAGGGTAGCATAGGGTCGATGAGTGTGCGCGGTGTAGAAGCAGGGGAACTCATAGGAGGGTGTGGCACCCATCGTGGTGTAGTGGCTCGAGTTGTGGGAGCGGTGATGAGGGGAGGTAGGTTATTAGTTAAGGAGGGAGCTGTACAGTAAGAAGAAAATGAGATAAACCGAAAGGAGGTGACAAAACGTCTGCAAAGTAATAAACAAAGAAAAATAAGAAAAGTGAGAATAGAAGCTGAAAGCGTTCATGTCCAGCCAGCCGTGTCAGGAGGTAGGAGGTGAGTAGGGGATATGGATGTGGATGCGGCCCGTGTCGTGGATGTATCTTATGGTAAGAGGGATGATTTTGGGGTGGGAGAGGAGTTGGGAGAGGTTGAAGGTGAGGATGGACTTGTCACTGAGGGAGGCAAGCAGGATATCGATTTGCAGTGCTCTGCGCTTGCAGCAATATTGATGGCATTCGAAGAGGAAATGCTCAACTGTTTCCGGGACCTCGCATAGGCTACAGTTGGGCGATGCACTGGGTCCCATTCGTGCCAGGTAGGCCAGAAGTCCTATATGTCCCATTCTTAGTTGGAAGAGGATGCTGATGGATCTGCGGCGTAGTTTGGAGGCGGCTTTCAAGAAGGTGCCGGGGGCTGTGTTGCTGCGAATGCGGCGGTGGAAGTGACCTGACGTTCCATTGGGAGGTTTGTCACTTCCTTGGGCTTTAAGGTATTGTTTGGCCATCGATAGAGAAGTGGGCATAGGGGGGTTTGTGTTGCGGGGGTTGGGTTTGGTGGCCGCTTTGGCAAGGTGATCAGCCTTTTCATTTCCCGGTATGTCATGATGGCCGGGTATCCATTCAAAGTGGAGTCTGAGGTGGAGGTGTATGGGTAGTAGGTCTTCGTATGCTCGGAGTATGGTGAGTAGAATGTGTTGCCCAGATTTGCGTCGCACAGGGAAGGCTAGGGCACAGACTGCAGCCTGGTTGTCGAGGAAGATGTGAAGTTTCTTGGCCGTCCTTTGGCTAGTTGTAAGGCTAGAAGTACTCCTGTTAGTTCACTTTCGAAAACCGAGTGGGATTCTGGGTTGCCGAGGCGCAGGGAGCTCTGTTCCTGCAGGAAAGGGATGTGGGCACTGGCCCCTACTCCTTCCTCTGTTTTGGAGCCATCCGAGTAAGCAATGTATTCGTGGGAGGGAGCGCTAGGTGGAGGTGTTCCAAGTAGGCTTCTTCTTTCGACAACGCTGTGTGCATTGTGAAAGGATGAGGGGCCCAAGGTGGTAGTGGTTGAGGGTGGATTAGCTCCGAGTGCTCTGAGAAGTGAGGGCGCTGTGGGGCGTCGAAGAGGTGGTGGAGGGAGGAACGGTGGCTCTGGACAGGACGTCGAAGTGCTCTGCGGGCAAGATGAGAGGCTGGGTTGGTTGGGGTCAAAAGAGCAGGGGATGCGGTGGATGATTACGGCGAAAACAGGGTGCCTGATAGTCAGCTTGGCTGCCTCATTATCCATGAAGGTCAGCCAGCGTATATCTTCGCGCAGTCGGAAGGCAGCCTCCTTAGTGAACAAGGTGATGACTAGATCTTTAGAAGGCAGGCGGCGAACAGCTTGGACGCGGAGGAAGCTGCCCTTGGAGTTTCGTAGTTCAGCTGTCTCTATCGCCACATTAAGCTCCTGTTGGAGTCTTGGGAAGCTGCGGTCGGTGCAGATGGGGAGTAGAGGTGACTGTTGTGTTAGAGTGACGTCGCAGGAGGTGTCATGAGGGGGCAGAACGGTGGGTTGGGCCTGTGCGGGTTGAGGCTGTGTGTTGGCGAGTGCGGCGTTAGTCGGGGGGTTATTGAGTGTGTTCTCAGGCCTCAACAACAGATTTAAGTCGAGGGGGAGTTCAGCTCTCGCAGCTAACACCCGGCACTAGGCAGGACCCCAGCCTCTATAGTGGAATATAGAAGATAGAACCTGGCACGGACCTAAACCTTCACGTGGTGCCCCTGTTTAGACCAATTAGGTCTATAACATCTGAAGGGGGGTGGTGTGGTGCGTGGCAACACCAATCTGCGCCCACGTAGCGCAAAAAATGCGGGTTCATCCCATCACCGACCCAACCCTTCTCTTTCTTTCCACTAACTTTTCAGGATGATGTGGTGCATCATGGCAACACCAATCTTCAAACCCGTAAGCCCAGAGGGGGAGCTGGCTGGACAGCGCAAACAGTGTGGGTTCATCCCGTCGAACCGTATATAAGCTAGAACCTTAGTAGATAGAAAAAGGCAGAGATTTTGTACTTTACACCCTCTAGTGTAATATCGAGTTCAACTTTGGTTCAGTGACTTTCGATCACCCTAAGATTTCGTAACCAATCGCCGGCCTCTGCCGACGTTAACACTGGCACTGCCTTATGCACTTGGGAGAACTTGTGGACAATGATGTTTCTGCGTTGCAAAGCTTTCGGAAGTCCATTTGGCGTTCTTCTGTGTGGTTTGGCGATGAGCCATGCCTGTATGTTTCTTTTTCCCTGCATAATGCAGATGGGTTCTTTGAGGGGTTGTCTTGTCATCCTTGAAAAGCGCGAAGGGGGTCTTGACCCCTTACAAATTTTCAGAAGGTACCTTTCTATGTGGGATACTATTTTTCCACACTTCCTGATTTGTGGCTCGGCGAGACAGGAAAACTACCTGCACGCTCCTGGTTTATTTCGCATCTCTGTTTGGTTATCAATGACCCTAACGTAGCACTCTGTTCGGGTGGTGATCTTGATCCAGCGCACACTGGTCGCTCAGCCTTCCATGCACATGGCATGGATCACTTAATCTAACAAATCCAACAAATTTTGGGCGAATGATACCTCTTTCTATTGAAATTAAGAACTAGTCATGTATAAGATGTGAACTGAGGAGAGGAAAGAGAAAAATGGCGCGAGGTGGCTTTGGGGCAATCCTTCATGGAAATGCCCATGTGTAAGATGTACAGTCCGATGGACTCAATGGACGGTCCACAGCATACCAAGAAACAAGAATTTCAACACTTTCTTCACCGCCATCCTCACCTCCCCCATCCTAAGCTAGGGCTATCGGTTACAGCTCGCCCTTGCCCTTTGTGTCCTGCAAATCAGCATTCTGCACCAGCCCATGTTGGGCCATGTCCACTACATTGGTCGGAACAGATTAGGTCTCAGTGTGAAGCGGAATTGGTAGGGAATATATTGAGAATGTTATCGTGAAAGTTCTTCTGCATCCCACCCTGATCATGGATCACTCGGTGTATATGATGGGTCCCCAGCCTCAGAGTCTACCTCTGACTGGGATAAATCCATCTCACTAGAGCTGTAGGATTGGTAAAAGTCGTCCAACTCGTTTTCTCCCTCTAGGGCCTGACTTGCTTTTAGTCTGATGTTACACTAACAGAGCTGATGAGACTTACTCCAAGTTCTGAAGTTAATGCAGTGACAACACCACCTAATGGAGCCAGACCCACACCAGATGGAAGACATGTCTGAAGGCACCTGAGGAAAGTGGGTGATATTCCAAAAATGTTTGTGCCATCATGATTAAGGGTGGGTTGGGAGAAGATAAGCACCCTGATGCAGCCACGAGGGATGAGTGAGAGCACTGCAGATGGTCAAGGAGTCTGAATGGTATTGGTTTCAAATCTCCTTAGAGAATTAGCCTTCTGGCAATGAAAACTGGAAGACCAAGCATACCTGCACCTGTAGGGAGTTGTTCCAGCTCTTCTGGACGCTTAAACTCAAACAATGAAAAGTACACCCCAATAATAAGGGAGTGATAAATTATTGCTTGGTCAGGATATGTATGGAACGCCATGAAAGCTTGAGTGATGACCTGACGAAGATGAGAGCCCATGTTGAGTTGGAAAAAACCCCTACTGTGCTCTGCAAGCCAAACTTTTGGCACTATGAACCTACCATCAATTCTACACACAATAATTGGAAGGGGGGAAACAAACCAAGACCTTGATTGGGTGGCCCTTAACCTCGATTACCATTAGGCAGTGTGTTACCTCTTGGAGCCATACCAGAGTGATATCGGGAATAGCCATTTTCCCCCTTTTGCTTTCCTTTGGCCCTGCAGAGTGCGAAAAAAACGTCCGAAAACACGACAGCTGAAAGGGCGTTGTGCGAAGTGTGCCATATGTAAATTTTAAGACGAAAGCAGAGATGGCTGAGGCGCTAGAGCAAAGAGATGAACACAGGGACTTAAGTGTGTGTTCTAAAAACGAAAAAATCATGTCTTTGCGATGCTCTTCAAAGAAGAGGGCTCATAACCTATTATAACTCAGCAATAGCCACTCTGAGTTGTCCTTTAATGTTATTCCAAGTAGAAGTAACAGTTAAAGGACGACTCCGCAGTCACATGATACAAATAGAGCGCAGATTGAATAAGAAATGAAGGAGAAATAGAAACAACTACACACAACAATGGGACCTATGAGTTGGAAGGGCAGAAACAAAAAGGGAAAACTCAACATGCCTTTGCAAACCCTTTGAACAATGCATGCTTCAATGCATCATAGTTGGCCTGGGACATGGGGATGGTGTTAGAGGTGGAAGCCATAACTAGAGGAAAATAATGGGCAAGTGGATCTTATATACCTAGATGTGACTGTGATGATGATTCTGTGGCTGACAGCTCTGAGGGAGTCCATCACTGACACAGGCTGCCCATAGGATGAATGTGCTTCCAAATGAAACTCTTTGTGAAATTGCAGAGCATTGCACCAGCATGCTCCAGACCCTAATCATCCCAATGTCTTCATGCCACCATTCAGTCACACATCTACAAATTTGTTTCAATCATGGCTTGACCAGATCTGGGGGCGTTGGTCCACCAGGCAGAGATAGAGCAGCCCTCAGTTGATCCAGAGGAAGTTGACTCCATGCAATGAGCTGGGGAAGAGATGGGTGTAGGCCCTCTTCCCAAGAGTAAGGATATCTATGATATGTATGCATTCCATTCACTAACCACACACAACACATGATTGCAGAGGTCTCTCAGGATGGGATCATGTTTCGATCCTGGTTGTTGGAGGATAACCTTCAACAGGCCAAAGCGCCTCTGACATGGGCAGACTTCATGCCTGTGGTGCTGGATGTACTGGAACAGGACCCACCCCCAACCCCAGATGTGATGAGGAACTTCACAGCTGTCTGCAATCAAACCTTGCCTGAAGTCTGGTGCCCTGAGGCAGATGTTCAGGATCCTGCACTGGATACCTTAGTTCCATGCAGAACACAGGGAGATAGCATTCAAAAGGAATGCACAATGTGAGTGATGATTTCTTTATATCTTCTGCTCACCGCCTTGCTGATAGTTCTTTGCAGCTGCCACAGAAATCTGTCTGTGGCAGTTGATTCCAATGGTGACCCAATATGTTTTCTTCCATCCTAGTAGTCCTACTAAGTTTCTATAAAAGGAAATTTCCCTTTATGGAATTTCCTTATATGGAAATAAGGGTTTGTAGTTGTTTGGGATTGTAGTGTGAAATCTCTGGGATAATGTGTACCTCCAAAACCTTGCCTTGCACTCAAGTTTTATCCACAAACAAAATGTCTTGATCCACTCAATACATCTCCATAGCCACTTGGAGTTCTTCCATGGTCTCAACATCAGCAAACCTGGTAGGAAGCTTTGGAAATGCATGTTAAATGGCCAGCATCATTACTTGAAAAGCTCTATCTGCTTAGTTATTTTGGCACCAGTAGTGCAAAGATAATATGGATATATGTGTGTGTAAAATGGCCATTGTCATTGCTCTGAAAGCTCATATACCTTTTGTGTTTACTAAAATCAGCACCTTATTTGTTTATTGCCATTTACAAATATGAGGAAAACTCTGAAATTCAAAAATTTGCACTTTATCTTTCATCTCATTTCTTGCTCAAAACTCAACCAATTTTGATGATTCTATGTGAATTGGAAAGCACCAAAGTGTGGCAATGTAACCATGCATGTTATGTAGGGTATAAATCAGTTTTAAAAAAGTGTTCCAAATGAAGTAAATTAAAAATACCACCCAATAAAGCAAACAAAAAGCTGATGTATTCTTCAGATATCATTCAAGCCTTTGACACCAAATTTCCCATGGTCAAAAAGCCATGGTTATTTGGCTCACCAAAACATGGTGGGAGACTTTTCTAACACTGAAACATACATTGCTACATTGCCCCACTTTGGCACTTTCCAATACACATTGAATTATCAAAAAAGTGATTTAATTTCTTTTCCAATTATTCCTAATTTCCTGAAATATCTCTCCCTAACTTATCCAAATTTTCTGATTTTCCCCCTAATTTCCCCTGATTTTTGGACATTTCCATTTTTAGAAAGTCCCCCATTTTCTGAATTTTCCTTAATTTTCCCTGACTTTTTAGAAACCCCCCAGTTCCCCCTCATTTTCCTCCCATTTTCCCCTTCATCCCCCCCCTTCAATTTCCCCCCCAATTCCCTCTGCAATTTCCCCCCCATCCCCCCCCTTCGATTTTCCCCTCATTCCCCCCCCCATTCCCCCTCCAAATTTCCCTTCATATTCCCCCCTTCATTCCCCCCTTCATTCCCCCCCCCCCCCCCAATTCCCTCAATTTCCCCCCATTCCCCCCCTCAGATTTCACCTCATTTTCCCCCCCCCATTTCTCCACCCACTTTCCCACATTTTCCTTAAGTAATTTGAGATTAACTGTATATGTATATCCCTAAATTTGGTCTATATATTAAATTTTTATTTTGATATCGGATAAATTAAACACTCAGGGAGCTCATATAGATAATAGTCCCCTGTTTGCAAATATAGCTCTATGAGCTTTGACTACTTTTCAGAGCTTTGACTACTTTGGGGAGCTCTGAGAGCTCTCAGGCCTCCACATCCAGGTTTGCTGATGTGGTCAAGGAGTTTCAAGTATCCATTTTACACTGTTTACGAGAAAATATTGAGCATGTGTATAACTCACATCAGTCCACCCTTTGGGGGCACCATCATATTGAGTCCACAATGACATTTGGACAGCCCAACAACAGTGTTCAGCATCCATCCAAATGGAAATGTCACAAAGTACCTGATGGCTACTCCAGATTCCATTCTGATACACTATCCAGGTCCCATGGGATGGAATGACTCACAGAGGTGCCAGCTGCTGATCAAGATTAAGAGGCACCAGTCATAAGTCAGCATTCCTTGAGGGAACCTCTGGCTAGACCATATAGCTGGATCATGGACCACAATACTATGGACTTTGCCCTCCCCTCAAGAGATGACTTTGAAGGTCATCTTGGCCGGGTCATACTTCAAGCCTTTGTGGCGTTCCATTCATTCCCTGATCGGATATTATATATCATGCACTGATTGTTGGGGTGTGATTTTGTCTCTTCCAATTTACACATCCCCAAAATCTGGTAGCACTTCCTCAAAAATTTGTGGAGGAAGGTATGGGCTGGCATTGGTTTTACTGCCAAAAAGCTAATTTTATGTACCAGGGAAGGAACCGGGAGCCCCATGGAACAAAGTCATAGTGTCAGGGTTGATCCCCCTGGACTGCATCGAGGTCGTGATGTTCAATGAACTGACATTGGCTTATGATGGGGACATGACCATATCACTAGGGTTCATGAGATGTTTCCTAACAGTGATGCCACCAAATGTTTGGGTCCGCAGCCATCCCCTAGGGAGTGAAGCTGTGACTGGATTCACTCTGAAAGCTGGAGTAAGTGACATGTTTATCAGTGTTAGTTAGCATCGCTCAATCCAAGCCAGAACATAAGTGTGGGCAAAAATCTGCTTAGGGCCTTTTATGAAGAGGAGAGCGATGAAGTGCTCACCATTGTATTCAAAGATAAGGACTCTGAAGCTGAAGACCCATCATATATACCTGGACAGAGGTCATAAGGAGCATTTCCAGTGGTGGGGATGGGGGTGTGTTATGGAGCGAAAGCTAACCATGATGATGCACAGATATCCACATCATGGGGATATCGGTTATGATATTTGGACCATATGCTGCATGTCCTACTGTTATTCAGGTTCCACATGTAGAGCTTGTGCACATCTCATGATCACTTTTGTCTTGTTGATGTAGCGACCTGACGTGGGGCAGCAACAAGGATGGGCCACTCACTAGGCACCTTATTGCTGACATGGCACAATGAGTCACACATATTGCAACTGCCGGCACTGGTGGCAGGATGGATCCTATCATCTCTCTAACCTCATGTTGGATGCCACTCTGTATTTCTTTTATCTTGGTTGGCCAGAACACAATATGTAACTATTGGATTGATATCGCATTCAGACACCTGCCAGCTGATAACATGTCTGATATCCTGTAACCACTTTGACTACTTATACTGCTGTAAGCACATGAGCATGTTTACAACAATAGTCCAATTGTCTTGTCCAAACATCTTGAGCCTGGTGCAAAGGATATCATTGTGTCTATGGATACTTGCCACTCCATGCCAGCACCACCAATGGCATCAGATGCTCAGTGCCCATGGAGTAAATGTAACCCGACACCACTGGTTTTATCATTGGAATAGAGGAAACTAACACTGGAGATGATTGAGAGGGAAAGGGCTTATGATTCAGCCACAGGAGCAGCCATCTACAACCTCACCTGCTTGCACCATCAGCAATCAGTCACCCTAGCAGCACTGGGGCATATGCCCCACAATGATTTTGAGGTGGACCTGTGCGATGGAGTGGGTGATTCAGGAGGGAAATTGGCTGGGAGTGCATCAAAATGGCGCTAGAAGGCTTCCTTGATGCATTTGGAATGTGAATAGAATTTAGCTAGTCGCTCAATGCCAAAACCCCAAGCCAGACAAAAGAGACTCAGCTGGGAACAACCCCAATGCCAACCAACAATCAGTGCCATCAAACCCCCCCCCCCCCCCATTTCACGTCAGTCTCATGCAATCGCATGCCCACTTGTACAGACGCAACTGGTTCATGAACTGGTACATTTTACACTCTCTCATTGCTTGCATGGGCAATTGGACCCTGGTGCTAAGTGGCTTATGAAATCCTATTTGATATTGAACCTGATCCTTCCAACTTTTTCAGGAAAGTGAACAACCAGGACCACATACCTGATAAATTCAAGACGGTTTTTCTGCAAACAGGTGTAACATAGCCACAGAAGGATATCGAAACTGGAGGTGGGAGCATGGAGGACTCTTGGGGGTCAGTGTGAGGGTTCAGCACCCTTCCCTAGGGTGGGGCGGACTCCGCACCCACTTGGTTCCTCCAATTTCCTTCAATGTTGCCTGTAGATACACATGGATGGGATAGTGTGGGAACTTTCTTGAAAGTATCACTGGCACTGGTTGGGTTGGGTTGCAAAAGTAGTAATCGCATGTTTTAGAAATTGAGTGTTTTAGAAGTTATAATGATGAGAAAGACAGAGCAACTTATCCCACAAGGAATACAAGTGCTTTCATCTGTTTTGCCCTTAAGGTATTTATACTTTAGGGAGAGGTCTGTGCACAGAAACAGTGAGATGTTTCATTAGAAACATCCCAACATCCTTAGCATTTCCAATGCTTAATAAGCATGCACCAAGGCTAATCCGAAAATAGAAGTAATATATAGTTTATATAATGTACAGAAATGTTTATATTATAACCCAATATAGTAGCAACTGTTTGGTTGAGTTGGGTGGTTGTATTGGGTGGTTGGGTGTTTGGGTAGTTGGGTTGTCAAAGATAGAAATTGTCCTGGGCTGAAGTTGCAGGCAGAAAGAGGAGACCCTTGCTCCTACTGGAACACAGGGGACTTTTGTCTGGGGGGACTCATCAGCCCTTTTTGCCTAGTATTTACACTTGCACAGTACAGGTCTGTGCACCTGGAAAGCATCCCACATCTGAAATCCTCTTAATCTTTGTTGATCTTGGGTGGACATCAGATTTTACCATAGTTATAGTTGTCCTAAAATTATGATAAAATATGGAACAGAAAGCTACAATGCTGTAGATTTTAATGGAAGTATTTATTTCCATAAAAGGCAAGTATTTTTTCCATTATTTATGAAATAATGGACCTAATCTTGTTAAAACTCAAGATTAATCCTTAGGACAGCCTATCTTTTTGTTTCAGTGTAAAATGGATAGATACCATCCAATTTACAGACTGGTCTGTTGAGTTTGGGTATGGTTGATTGGGTGGGTTATAGGATGCTTTTTGGACTGGGATGCTCATTGGATGCTCGACCTTGGGGGTCAGACTTTGGAGGTCTTACACAGCAAAGTGCTGAGAGTGTCAGCCCATGCAACCAACCACCCACTATGGGGGTCCTCTGGGCAAAGTGCTGACACTGTCAGCATTTTCTGGACCAGGTCTAACTGCACTACCACCCACTATGGAGGTCCACTGGGCAAAGTGCCGACACTGTCAGCACTTTCTGGACCAGGTCTGACTGCACTGCCTCCCACTATGGAGGTCCTCTGGGCAAAGTGCTGACGGTGTCAGCACTTTCTGGATGAGGTTTGACTGCACTGCCACCCACTATAGAGGCCCACTTGGACAAGTGCTGACAGTGTCGGCACTTTCTGGACAAGGTTTGACTGCACTGCCACCTACTATGGAGGTCCTCTGGACAAAGTGCTGACACTGTTGGCACTTTCTTGACCAGGTCTGATTGCACTGCCACCCAATATGGAGGTCCTGCCAACACTGTCAGCACTTTCCAGACTGGTTTGACTGCAGAATATGGAGGTCCTCTTGGACAAGTGCCAATGCTATCATCACTCTCAGGACTGGCACATGTTAGTTTCCATATCAGGCCACTTTCACAGTATTTTCACCATATCTCCCCCAGTTCTTCTCCGATCCAGATGGATCTAGTATCGTTGGAAAGCTATTGTCAAGGCGAGTCCGACGAGTCCAAGCTTGGGAGATTTAGTACAGCCCTTGTGGAGATGGTCATATTCTATCCATTGTGTTGCTACTCCCATATATCTTTCATTGCTTTGTTCTTATGTTGTTCTTGTAATAACTGTGCAACGTGATACTTGTATTAGTAAAGTATCGGCTGCCAGAGCAAGTCCCATCCTAATATACATAAATATGGGCTCTACACCACTGAGGTGAAACCAAGAGTATCAAAGTGTGAAAACAATGGTGAGTAACAACACAAAGGGAAAGAGAAAGGTTGGGTGGTGATCATGCCTCAAAGCGCTCCCACCTCCCAAAGCAAGTGTGTGCAGCCTGGGTACCTTGCCTTGGCAACCTTTGTGCCAGGCAACCTTTGGCCCTGACCACAAGTGGCATTGGGCTGCAGTTTTCAACAGTTCTGTCCATTTCTGTCTGTCCCCAACACCATCAGATCCCTTGGACATTAGCTTGGATCAGCTTTGGTTATATGTATCTATACAGTGAGTCAACACTGCAGTTTCACTCCCCCTTTGTTGCCTGTGTGTGTGAGGATGGGCTGATGAGCCTCCATTCCCACTATGGAGGTCCTCTTGAACAAGTGCCATTGGGTCATAGTGTTATAATCGCAGTGTTATAACTTATAATTGCAGCATTGCAACCTGAACTCTGAGTGCAATATCACAATGTCAATAGATACCGCACTCAGCTCTACACATCATACTTATATACATCTCTGTGTGGTGCAAATGAACAAAGGCTAAAGCATTAGGACAATGAAACTTCCCATAAAAATCATAACAACAAGGGCATCAGAATGCCACTTCAACACTTCCCCTCATTCTGATAACCATACATTCCTCCAGTTCTGTTGGCAGGACATATCAAAGTCGCATGCAGCAGTGGTGGCCATGGGTGCATAGATCAGGAAGTGGTAGCAGGCATGTTCAGTGGGGGAATGGTGACATCAGCATGTACAGTGATGAGCAGGGATGGGCAGGAAAATGGGTAGCGGCAGACAAGACATCATGTCTCGATTGGAAGAACAAGCGGTGTCAAAACACAGACAGACAGCCAGCAAAATGCAGCTAGCATCAGCAGCCTACAGGGTAATTTTCAGAGATTACACTCAAGTCACCCAACTGGCAAGGCAGGGTGATGTCAACACAGGCAGTGTGTGAGCAAGCAGCTAGCAAACACAACTAGCAAGGTGGTGTTGACATCAGCAGTGAAAATCGCAAGCCCAACAGCAGGGCACAGGGCAGTTACAGAGCTTTATCCTCAAGTGCCCAACATTTGATCACAAGCCCACACAGAACAGTCCAATCATTGGTGAGGTTACAGGACACTCCAATCGCCGTAAGCAGGGTGGCATAATACATCAGCGCATCATCTGCAGCACATTTCGATTTTCCCTTCAGCAACATCGGGTTTCTACCAACTCTTCCCTCAACACGACATCCTGGCCTTTCCTACTTCAGTAACATCGGGTTGCTACATCAACCCTTCCCCTCAACCCAACATCCATACATCTCACTTTCTCCACTGTGGTGTCAACAGGCACAGATGATGCAGGTACAGCGACTCGACAACGAGGGGGGAATGGCAAGAGGGATGGTGGAACAATGGACGGCTGCACTCAGTGAACATGGAGGTCAATGGAAACACCATGAACAGCTGCGCTTTGAGCACTTGATCAGCTCACAATCTGCCTCCCTTGCTCAAAGTGCCCACATGCTTGGCAGCAGGGGGGATGGCAATGGCAATGACGGTATAAGCAGTTGGGGGGCATCAAGTGCAGCAACAGTAATGGTGTGTCAGATGGTGGCAAAGGGGGTGAACATGGGGGGCAATGCAATAGTGTCAGGGACAGCTCCGAAAGTGGCGAGGTCCCAGCGTGCAGGACTCAGTGGGACGAGTAGCAGCTGTGCATAGCGGCAATCCCATCATGGGGTGAGCGTCCCTGACCACTTAGTCTGAAGTGGAAACGTGAGTTATCATTAAAAGGGAAAGCTACACTACTTGCCTGAAGTGGAAATGTGAGAAGAAGGCCATTCTTCGGTTCCCACTCCAGCTGTTATTATATACATGCAGGATCGATCATGTGGGGTGCACCACATCACCCTTGCACACAGCCACGGCTCTCCGGGTGTCTCCACAGGAGATCCCGAGAGGGCCCACTGTGGGTGCAGGGCAAGTGTGGTAGCGGTGGCAGCAATATAGGGGTGGTAAGATACAGGAGGGGAAATGGGCATGTGTGCCGGTGATACATTGAGCAGCGGGAAAGGTGGTCCATGTAAGAGAAAGAAAGAAAGAAAAGAAGAAAGGGAAAGGGAGAGGAGGGGGGAGCGGTGTGGAGCAGGGAAGCGGAGTGGGGATCGGGCGGGGTGTGTTGGGGGATGCCCTGACAGATAGGCACCCAGAGTCATTGTTTACTTCATTAATAACTCCTGCAATAATGCATCACTCTCCTCCAAACTCGTTATGCAGATAAGCCTGATCCTCCTTTATCGAAAGAGCCCAAGATCAAGTCTCGGCGATTCGTAGGTGGCGCTGGTGTCAAGTTTTAAGTTGAATCTTCCAAAATGCATCCTTTTGCGTCGATCTCCTTCAGTCTTTCATCAATCCCAACGTTCAAGAGGTCGTTCGGATCCTACAGGAAACCTCTGCAACTTCTCTTATTTCGCCAAATTGTGATTCCTACTCATTGGCATTGAATGCACATCGGGAAGGTTGGAGATGGGTAAGTGCCAAGCACAGGCACTTTCAGGGCATTCAGGAGGGGGGGATGACAGGGCAGTTGTGCCCAAGCAGTGGACAGGTGGGTCGGATCACAAGCAGCTGCAGCAGGTTCACTGCTCTGTGAGGTCTGTGTCATGGGGCAGCGTGGCAGCCTTCATTGTTGCAAAGCAGTGATGTTGAACAAAACACATGTCAACATTGTGTCAGGGTCGTGCGTGCTCGCAGTGAAGGATGCCCCAGAAACCTAATTGATATCAAAGCTGAGGGACATGCCCATCCCAGCATACGGTCATATATACACGACAGAGGTGGCAACTAGTCAACTAGCTAATAACCGGTAGTATCGGATCAAGAATGATAGAAGATCATGCAGCGTCATAACTGACAGCCGCAGATTGGATCAGATCGGAGATGAAGAGGAAGAAAAGAAGTGGAAGCTGATGGAGATACGGGTCATGTGGCAATGCGCTACTTATGCTAGTGACCCGAAGGCGTGCCCTGACACATTGGTACAATGGGGCACAGTCACCATAGCTGGCATGTGGGCAGTGGAGATAGCAAAAGAACAGCACAAGCACAGCAGAAAACATTCAAAGAGTGGTAGTGTCAAACAAGCAGCAGAGTTGACTGGGGGTTATAATTGCAGTGTTATAACTTATAATTGCGGCATTGCAGCCACATGTAGAAACCCAGATTTGACAGGATTCCATCAAATTTTGTATTGTGGGTCAAGGGAGTAATGAAAACAGGGTGGGACCCACATGAGGCATTGCAGTGTAGGATCTCACAAATCCAATGCACCTTAGTTGGATTTGGTCACAAATTGAGGGAGAGCATCCACAATAAAGATTGGGTCTCATGCCTGCCAAAATGTGGATTGCCTGCATTCTGCCATGTCAGTGGCTTGACATCCATGTGAAGATAGTTAATTACATGTAGTATCAAGCCAAATCAGTCTTCTGTGCCCTCATCTTGTAGGATGGGAGATTTCCACACCTCCCTCCTAATCAAATTCCCATCCCACATAGCCTTGTCATCCACCAAGGGATTTAGAATGAGCACAGGGAGCCTTGTTCCAGCCCTGTCAGCAGGGAAAGTGTCTGAACTCCAAGGGTTGGCTGCAGTGGACCACATTCATGAAAGATCTGAATATGGCACCCAAACGAGTTTGGAGTATACTGTCTCCCAAATTTTCTCTCTGATACGATTACCACCAGTACAGTCAAACTTTATGATGAATTCCCACCAAGAGACGTGAAATGGATGCCTCTTCCATCCTTTGCCCCCATCTTTGAACTGAATATGCCCCCCCTGTCTCCTGTCCTGATTGTATTTTCCCTGCATTCTTGGTGGTTCCCATTGGAGGTCTGGAGGTGGGAAAGTGAGTTGGAATGCAACATGAAACTCAGAAGGGTTGCACCTTTGGAGGTGAGCTCCAATGAAACCACTTTTATGCAGATCTGGTTCCACAAAGTACTCCATACCAGGATGATTGATAGGGTTGTCTGGATCACAGACGATGTGATAGAACACATCAGAAGATGGGGTCTGTGGTACTGGGATGGTCTGCAGGATGTTGGAATAGAAATACTGGATAATCTGGTGGAGAGACTTTGTGTAGATTATTGAGGTGGTCCCTTGAACAAGCTGAGGTACATAATGGTGGTCTTCAACAGAGTAGGCAGTCCTCAGGTGCTTGATATGGTGCTTCTTGAGTTTGACATGAAGATTGGCTGGAAGCTCATGTTCTGGTTCGAGTACAGGGGGGCTTCTGTACAGTGAGGTCTGGGGAGACGGAAAGGGGCTCTTACTGCAGTGTAGAGGGTGGCTGAGAGCAGTGTTTTGATCTCCTTGACAGAATAGCCCAGGAGGTGGTTAAAATGGTCCTCATCCAGTGGCCACCATCGTACCAGTCCAAGTGTGGTATGTGCCCTGAATGAAGGGGCGATTCGCCCATGATTGGAGGGGCCACCATAACTGATGTCCCTGAACCGGAGAACATTTCCAGGTGCAAATGGGTGACATTGTTCACCCTCAGCCTGGTCTCTGTGAGGGTTTCTGTCACATCCATCCAGGATATCTGGGTGTAAGAAGTTATCGGTCACTGGGAGGGAAGCACACATGAGAGGCCCAAGTGATCCAACCAACAGGAGGGCAACTCAATTTTAGTCCATGGCCACATGTTACTGCTGATGGATCAGCAGGTCAGGCTGATCATTCTGCCAGCCCTCCCTCCAACCATTCCAGTACAGTCAGCACTATCGTTGATCTACCTCATGTTGAAATACTGCACATTCCAGTTTTCAGCAAGTATGGATAGAGGTACATTCGACCACTTCCATGATGTTGCCAAAGAGTTCATAAGCTTGATGGGTTGGACAATCAAGTATGCAGGTTTTGTGCAGTTCATTGACAATATGCTTTGGTGCAGTAGAATGCTTCCTGTAGAGTCCTGGAATCATGAGGTGTAGATATACATATCTATGTGTATATTGGAGGAGCTAACATTGTATGGGCACTAGAACTGTTCAATGCCACTGTGAAGTCATATATGAGGAGTGTTTGCACTTTTGCCATGATTCCTTTGTGTTTACAGCTCCAAACCTATAATAGATCTGAATTCTATTCTTCAGCCCCCAAGGAGTGGGAAGTTTGTCTCAATGAAAGTCTCCCTCCTCAGCCACAGGTGGCCCCATGCCTTGCAGAACTCTGTTGTCTTCCTCTGGAGGCTCCTTGACTAGGATTCATGCACCTCCTGTAAAGTCTCCAACAAGTTTGCCAAATCATTCTCACAGGCCTCATCTTCCTCTTGATGTTGAACCCTCCACTCCTACCCCCCATAAGGTCCACAAGGTCAGATAACTCTGGCCCCATTCTCATATTCCCATCTCATAGCCCTGCAAGTGTTGTTGTGAATCCACTCTATGAAGACGATGATTTCGCCAGGTCAAGAAGTGGTGCCATGACTCTATCGACTTGCTCTTTATGTTGATTCTGAGCTGGTCATGTTTCTATTCACCATCTGGCTCAAAGATCCCAGTGACTTTGTTATATTATCTAGCAGGTTCAGGATCGCTCACTTTTCTCCTGTGGTGTGATAACCAAGTATTGCTGAGAGATTATTCAATTAAGAAGTCCCTCCACCAAATTCTCACTAATTCTCACTATGACACTTTTGTTCAGCTGTGTCTAACTGACCCTAACTCGCGCTTAGAGTGACATGTTAGTTTTATATTAGCTATCAACTAATATTTGCTTTTATCTTTTGGAGCAAATGAACCAACCACTGGTGAGGAGAATTAAGGCAATATTTATAATGAGGCCCAGGGAGGACACACCATTCAGAAGAGGGTCAAGCCCATCCTTGGCAGCATTAAATGCTTGCACCTTATATTTAAGCTTCTTCTGGCAATGATTGTACCAGAATAAGTTGGATACCAGTGACTGGTACTCAGTGTGGATATCCACTCAACCACCTGGTCTAAAAGCTGCATCCCCCAGAACAATCTCAGCAGCAATTTGGCTGACCTCAGACTCTAGCAATGGTAATAGTCAAAGATCCAAGCTTAGAAGAGCTGGGTCTCATCAATTCTGTGAAAGGATAGCACTTGGCTATCTTTGTTTCATCAATGAGTTGCTTCAGGATCCCATTCTCCCTGTACCACTTGATGTGGATGAGACTGCAAAAAGTGCTGCAACCCTGGGAGTAGCCATCATTTGTCCTTTGATTGGCAAAGGCTTTCATGGCCATCAATGTTGCTGGCTCTTCCCAAGCTGCCTTGCCCTTCTTGCACTCCTGAGCGCCACACTTGCAAAGTGCTGCTACAAATGACTGCAGACTTTGCCATGTTTTCAGGTTCCCTTCTGGATCCTCACAAAGGAGTAGTGGTGGATCTTGGAGTGCCCAGAAATCAAAATCCCAATCAACATCCCCTGTCCAGGTGTCTGCATCCTTGTACACAATGGCAACTAAGGATTTCTTTACAGTGAATGGGGACTTCCCAATAGCCCCTTTTGGGCTATCATGCCACAACCTAAGGATGACATCAACCACTGTGGCTCCTGGCATTTCTGGTGCATTTGAATGCAGGGAATGGAGAGATTGAAGAGTTGTGGTGAGTTTCAGCTCTGAACAGAAAAAAATTATCTTTAAACATGTGACCTAAAATATGTATTGTTGGAAAATCCCCCAGGAGGTTTAAACACTTGGTGACAGAGGTGCAGCTAAAAAGTCTGGAATCCACACTCCACCTGCCCATGGACAAGGTGGCAGGAAATTTGGCTTCAAACCATATGTCAACCTAACACTGTGTCTTCCTTCACTGAACATGAATGTTTCCAGGGTTTTCAAAGCTGACAGTCAGCAATATGAAGTCATTGAACACCCAAGAAGTGATACAGTACATGAAATTAGAAGTTCATGAATGGCTTGAGCATCTTGAGCATATGTCAGAGTTAACTGAGCAGTTCAAGATTCCAGAGGTCCAGGAAGATATGGGGGAATGGGGAGAGAACCCACTGGGAACAGGTGATATTGGTGTAGAAGCTTGGAAGGGCTTGGACAAGTCCAAAGAATGGCTTATTGTCAGGGCTCAGTCCTCACTCAGGGACAGCCTGGCCTCAGGACTGGGTGTGTGTGATGTTCTAGATATCAGGGTGCTGGACCCTGTCCTTAGCTCCTGAAAGGACTTAGCAGGGATTGAGTTGCCATGGATTATAAGAGAGGCAACTACAACTTGCCTTAGTGGGGATTGAGTTGAGAAGAAGGGTAAGTTTCCCTATTCCCTGCTAGGCTGCTATAAAAGGTCTACTATACAGTTTGTAGTGTAACCTTGGGCAAAAGCCAAGTGCATTCCCATGACTTGGAAAAGGTGTCACATGGGCTAGGCAACATTGTCACCTAGCCCACATGATTTTTCCCATGGGTTTGCCTTGGGTTCCCAGCCATACACTTTACAATCCAGAACTTAATAGCAAATGCTGTGATGTTGCATGGGAGACCTAATGACCTACAGTGTCTTGAGGCCTAAACTCTGTCTTGAGTACATTCCAGAAGGTGTGCATGTACTGAGGAGGTAGGGTGGCAGAGCAGAATAGGATGGGACAGTTCTGAAGCTGCATAAGCTTGGTGATGCTATAGTCATCCCTGAACATGCAGTCTTCCACCAACCCATGAGCCTCATCATACATGATGGCACCAAGCTTCCCAGCCTTGGTGAGATCATTGTGCCACCACAAGGTTGGGAGGAGAATGACTCAATAGACAGTGTAATTTCCCTCTCTGTTGGATTATGATTACCTGAGTACCATAAGAAAATTGAACCTCCTTTTCATATCATTGTGAAGGACCTGGTAAGGGAGCACCATCACTGCTCTAGTTTCTGGTGGCCAAGTTAAGATTTCAAGTTGGAAGGGAAGAGTTTTTCCAGAGCCAGTGCCAGAGATACTAACCAAATGGGTCTGCCACTCCAATAGCTTCTTGAATACATGATACTGGGCTGGAGAGGTGAAGGTGGCATTCCTGTCCCTTAGCATGTGTTGTAGTCTGGAAAGTGAGTCACTGTGTTAGATGGTGCCGGTTTGGATAATTCCAGAATGGAATCAGAGACTTATCAAGGAGGGACCTTGGCCTCAGCAACTCAAGTGGAGTGGCTGTGCCATTGCTGGTTGTTCTGTTGGTCCTTAATTTTGGATCTAGCAAGGGGAAAGTCTCTAGGGGGAAATGTTGATTTCAGACTGAGGTGACAAGTTACTAGGTACATTGTATATATAGGGGAGGTCTGGAAGGAGCAAGGGTAAGCTGGAAGGAGACAAAGGGAGCTGGAAAGGGGAACAACACTGAGGGTCAAGGGTTTGACTCAACTGTGTTTCCCAAAGGAGGTATGAGGGACCAAGGCCCAAGGAGGAAGGAGGGAGGATGGGAGTTGGGGATGGCTAGTTGACTGAATAGAAAGAAGCATAGCAGAATTGAATGGGACAATACAGTAAGAACTGCAAGGTCTGAAATAAGTCTGGGAAGTCTGAACTTGGAAGTCAAACTCTGAAATATTGGCAAAGGCAAATTAGCTAACCAATACAATGGACATAAGTGGAGGTGGGGTCAAAGTCTGAGGTTGGAGCTAAGACTAGAATTCCAAGATGGAGAACTATGCCAGACTCTACATGTATATAGCTGGCTCTAAGATGGGGACATTCCTTTCCCCCAGCTTTAATCACAACTAGGTTATCAGAGCAACTTAGCATGATGTAGGTGGGCACAGCTGGTACCACCCAAACAAGCCAAATATCGCGATTTCCCCATCCCAGCACATCCCCACTTCACAAAACACATTGCACACATCCTCATATACCCTTCCTACCCTTCCATGATTTTTTCCAATCTATTACCTAGTCACTTCAGATCCTGTGTGAAAATCCCTCACCATGTAGCAAACCCTGGGATCCTTACTCCCAACCTCTCAAATTTTGCTGCAAAGAGGTGATTCCACACTAGTTTGCATTGATGGGTAGCAATCATTGCCAGCTACCCTCCCAATCCTACACCCTCACCAATGTCCTTCAGTCTGTCCTACCTGAGGGATGTGCTGAAACTTACAAGGACCTGGATTTTGGGGAGCATCCCAACATTCACTGAATCACAAGGGTCACTTGCAGTGATCTCAAACTCTTTGGTGCACCCAATGGACAGGATTGGGACTTAAAAAAAAGAGTTGCAAGTGTTCCACCTGTCAGGGCATGTCTTCAGGTTGCTTTCCGCTTCTGATCTTCTATTTGATCTGGTCACATGGTATCGGTTATGATGTTGTGTGATCTTCCATCATCTTTGATCCACTTCTACTGGTTATTAGTTAGTTGGCTAGTTACCATCTCTACCGTGTATTGCTGGCATGGGCATGTCCCCCAGCTTTGCTATCAACTTGGTTTTGGGGGCATCCTTTGTTGCAAGCATGCATGACCCTGACACCACCTGTCAGAGACCAGGTTGAGATGAGGGAATGTCTCCATGGTGGAGGGCTTCGGCCTCGGCGACTTATGCCAGGAGCGCTGTGCCAAGTAACATGTCTGTGCCCTAACTTACTAAACTGGCAACCAGAACTGAAGGGGGTAAACTCTAGTCGATTTTATTACTGGGGTGTAACCTATGTACAAGTTGAGTATATATATAGTTACAACGAGGGCGGGCCCACAAATGGCAGAGCCAAGTGGAGTGGGGCTAACGGGGTTAGACATTAGCTGATTGAATATTACCGACGAGTTGGGTTACGGGTTTAATGGAATGGTAGGCATTAACCCAGAAATGGAAAGGAGGGATAGGCCCAAAGGTGGGCTTGCAGGGCAAGTGAGTGTATTGCCCAGCGGAGGCGGGAGTGCACTAGCAGACGTCGGAGCTGTCCGGAAGCCTTCGGGGCTCTGTACTTAGGGAGGCATAGGTAATAAATTGAAAGGAGGGGGTGGTGACCATCAAGGGGTACTGAGGTGATTGCAGAATATGGGAGCTCCAAGGTTAGTGAAGAAGGAGACCGGAGGGATCGGAGGGAGTGGAAGTCGATGGCCAGGGATGGATATGACACCACCTGAGGAAAAGGTGTATCTTGTTTGCAGTGGATGAATTGGAGAAGCTGTCACATCTGGGGGAAAATATGGAAAATGCAGCAAGTGCCTTTCTAGGAGGAACATATGATGCATTCATTCAAGAGGAGTTGGAACCTGAGGAATCTGGACTAGGGGTCTATGTTAGAATGGGGTGATAGGAGACAATTCTGGAGTGGAACCGGAGACTTAGCAAGGAGGGACCTTGGCCTCAGTGACTCAAGGGGAGCACTGTGCCATTGCTGTTTGTCCTGTTGGTCCTTAATTTCAGACATGGCAAGTGAAGAGTCTCTGGGGGGCATTCTAGTCGATTTTGGACTGAGGGTTTCTTGAGTATGTACAAGCAACTATATATAATAGAGTGTTAGAAACATGAGAAAACAAGGGGGGCCTGAAACAGAACAAAGGCATCCAAATGGAGACAAAGGGAATTATGGAAGTAGAACTACACTGAGGGTCAAAGGTTAGACTCTATGGTGCATCTGAACCAAATAAGGGTGAGGGAGAAATGTGAAGTACACATTAAAGCTACAAAGGGGCCAAGGTAGGTCCATGAAGCTTGGAGGTAATGGAGCTTATGGAGGTGGGATTGAAAGTCCAAGGAATATTGGCAATGGTGTTTATGTGAAATGAGGTCACCAATGCAATGGACTTAAGCTGGGGTGATGTCAAAGTCCAAGGTCAGGACCAAGATGGGATCTCAGAGCAGAGGTATGATCAGTGTCTGAGTTTGGGGTATGGGACGGAAATGGGGGGTTGTAGCTTGGTGGAGATTAGGTGGGGAAGAGTCAGGGGAAATGGAAGGTGAGGTCAGATCCAAAGTGAGGATTGGAGTGGACAGGAAGAGGGGTAAGACTCCAGAGGTGGCAGAAAGGGATCCAGGAGTCGAATTGGGATTGGGTATGTACAGATATATGACAGTAGCTGAGGATATAAAAACATACAGGAATTGGGCTAAAAAAATGCAATATGCCACTGTTTCACACATTCAGGTGAGGCTGGAATCTGAGGAAAAGTATATGTCATATGTGGAATGGAAACCTTCCCAAGATGGCTTCCAACCATGTTGAAGGTAATACATGTCTCCCCTGATGGTGTGAGGGCTAACAGAGTGTTTCAGTGTTAACTTTATTCCTTGTTCCTCTGTCAGGTGTTTTTTTCTTCACCATTTATTTCATTTGTCCCTGTCAAAAAAATGGATGACTGTACTTTCCATCTAGGGAAATTACCCAATTAGGAACCTACCCTATAAGGAAATTTCCATATTGGGAAGGTCCTAGCAGGCCACTAGGAAGGGAGAAAAACCCTTGGCCAATGTTGTCATATTGATTGATTGTTCCATTGCATTCAAACTGCATCAACCACATTACTCCAAGGTGGGTTGTTTTTGGGCAATGATAGCAATAGTTTCTGTGGCATCATCAAGTGTCTGTCATTGCATTTCCATATATTGAAGGTCCAGTCTGGATCTTGAACTTG